GCATCACTTGTCATCATGTAAGATATCAAATCATTTGGCTTCTCATTTAGGGCATCATCGTATTATCTTATGTAAGACTATCCTAAAAAAGGTTCATTTAGAAAAGAATTTTTTGGTTTTGATAAAAGAAATTGCCCTATAGCATTTACATGATATGTTTTGAAAATCGATCACTTTTGAAATATATTGAACGCATTCATCATTTTACTTCTTCCGACTTAGATGACATAAAATGGCAAATGGTAATTTCAAATAAGCATCTTTCAACTTTAAATCAATAACAAACCATGCTATGACAAGTAATTTTTTTTATTTAAAGTAACGACTCAATCCATGAAAATCATAACACTTTTTCTTTTTCTAATGCTATCGAGTTAGGCCAATAATTTTTTTTAGTATAATCATTTGGTGGTTTTAGGGTATGATTATATTGGATGTCCCAAAGAGAGAATCTAAATAAGATGAATGGAGAAAAGCGAGCAAGGATGGAAAAAATTTGCACGACCCCATAAAATAACATTATTGTGAAAGCATGATAAAAAGTTCAGCATATTGTACTCATAAGCTATAATAAAAGAAAAGCAAAGATAATCATAATAAGAGAACCACTTAGTTTTGGAAACAATATGCACTATTTAATCAAACAAATTGCTCGACTCATCTCCCTAGCCGATTTTGGGTCATCCAATGATAGCATGTTTATTCCTCCGAGTAGAGGTATGATTCGACAAAGGATTAAAATTAATGTTTGGGGGATTTAAGGAATCTTTAAATACAATCGGGCCTTGATCAATCAAATTTCATACCCTTTTCTTAAAGCTCACACGAGTTTTAAATATTATGACCAATAACGTCATTATGGTATACACAAATTTCATTTAGCTTATACCAATAAGGGAATAGTGGTCTGAATTGGTGTAAGTGTCATAGGAACTATCCGGCTAATGGTCATAAGGTGCTCAAAGAGATCACCAAGAGATATGGGAAGTGATGATAAGATATCATTGAATTATCCCTCTCGATATTCTTTGAAGAGTTCGATTCGATGATTTAGGTTGGTTGATGAATTATTATGGGCTTTGCTAATATGTTTGAGGCTAAAATTGGTATAAGGTAGGTGTTTGATAGGGATTATGTGGTATTTGGTATCGTGGAAAGGCTAGTGTTTAGGTTATCGGTCCAGCTACATCGGTCGAATTAGCATTTATAGGAATTATGAATCGTATAGATGGGTTGGGCATGTTGTTTTGAGGGATTTATTGACTATTATTCCTCTAAGAGTTATTCCATTATCTTGTAGGAATGAAAGAAGATCCTCCAATTTGATATATCTCTTGGTCTTTTCTCGGATTAAAGTTACTCTTCTTATATCCAGATTATAAAGAATCAACTATCCTTTCGACTTGATGACTTGGTCAATTCGATCTACAACGGACACTATCTTAATAAAGTTGTTTGACCTATTACTTAACGAGATAGTCATAATATAGAGCTTTGAAAGTGTTCACGAAGAGAGTAACCAATTCTCTCCCAGAAGGTATGATAAAATACGAGATGCTATTTCTCGTCATCATTGAGCATATTTCCTAATAGATTCTCTCGAACCTTTTTTCATAGACCGTAGACTAGATCTATCGGGTGATATCTTCATATTGAACTTATACTTGTCTCATGAATACATCCATTAAATCCTTTCACCTCCCGATCTTTGTTTGGCCTAGGTCAACAAACCGATTGAGAGCGAGACTTATCAAGACTTTCGAGAAAGAAATGGATCAATAGCTTTTCATCATATGCTACCTCGGCCATCTTATTTAGATAGATCCTTAGGTGGGTCTTAGGACATTGACTCCTAATGTACTTAGCAAGCTCAAGCACCTTAAACTTTTGAGGAATCACCACATTTGGTATTAGACATTTATCTACACCGAGCAGGGGATCATATATATGTACACTTTGATAGCTCTTAGGCATTCCCCAATGGTTGTGAGCTTCTTAGTTTTGAGGTTTAAAACTATCTTTTCCTTGGCTAACTCTTTAGTGACGAAATTAGTAGTTATTGCTATCGATGCTTCGACGGTTCGAGGAAACATAAAGGTGAGGCTCGAAGGTCTAGGAGCAAACCTATACGTGCCCTAGGTGTAGGATAATTGGCATGGTTAATAGTATCGGTAGGCTTTAAATGAGGTACACCAAGAGGTGGTACTAGAGCGACGATCCGAGTGATTGATGGTGACATGGTGGTAAACATTTTTGAGAAAGTCGATGACTAGCCGACTTCTCTTTAGATGATAATTTTTGAAGATATGTGATTTTGCTAACTTTGTTCCAACGAGAGCGATAAGCCTAGCAACTTCTTTCTTTAATGATTCTACCTTTTTTTGGTGATTTTGCTCAACCATAGCCTTTTCCTCATTTTCCATGTTTTTTCTAGCTCTAGTGTAGTGAATGCCCGAGAGAAGTATAGTTTTGGCGAGTTGACCTATGCTTCTACTTAGATAAAAGATAACAAATATAAGATGTAGAGAATATATTAAAAATAAAATGACACTCGGGATTAAATATGGAATAACCTTCATGTGGGGATGATAAGAGGATTTGATCATCAATTCTTTGACATTATCTTGGTTTAAAGATGAAATTGGGTTTCATTAGTAACCCTCGATATATTCTAACCAAGCTTCAAAACTTCTTTAATATTCATACATTATAGTAATTGAACTTAAATTCTCTTATCACCCATCTTGAAACATTGTGACCAAATTGATAGGTTAAGGTTTCAATACATCCGACTTGCTTAGTGTATTTAATTAGAAGTGATGATCCTAGGATTTGGTTCTAAGTCATTACATAAACACAATAAGATTTATCTAAGTCCCAAATGGTGTCTCTTCAAGCCCGATGAATCATAATAGAATCATTAGGGCTAAAGGCAATGATTGGTTAGCATGAAAAATCATCGATTACCCATCATTCAATAACGATTAGCAAGAAGAGTTTAGATTTCATGAGTGTTACCTAGGACAAAACCCGTCGAAGCACCACTACTACCTCCTTAAGTCCCGAAGTAAATGTGTGATAAACATAAAAAGTAATGGTAAGTGTAGTGTATGCATAGGTATTATCCCATATCCAATCTTATAAGCAAAAAAATAAAAATAAAGACATAAAATGAAATAAAATAAAAAAGAAAAAATAAACATATAAGGCAAAAGTGGAAAAAAAACATGAATTTAAACAAGACAGGAAAATTACATAAATCAACCTACGAGTATAAAAATTCATCATAAAAAAATCAAAAATCAAATTTAAAAATTATATACAAAGCCTAACCTTAAGTATGGTCCCTAGTGGAGTCGTCATTCTATCGCAGGGTGACGTCGGTGGCGAGTGTGACATGTTTAAGCAAAAATAGTGAAAATGGACAAAATAACTAGAGTCACCACCTAGTATTATGGTCATTACGAAACCATATGACTAGTCCGTTTAGAGTTCTAGATAAAGGATTTATTACGTGTAAGAAAAATTAAATATCATCCTACGCCCACTCGCCTAAGGCAAGCTCGCATTGTATATCAAATAGACTTGATTTTTGATTTTTTTTAATGATGAAATACTATACCTAGTTTTCAAGTATTTGCCCACTAGTCGAGTGATTTAGGACTTGGCCGATCGAAATCTCGTCCTCAATCTATAATGCATAGCTAAAAAATAAAAGACATGATGAATGCAAGGATATGTGGCTAATCCGACTTAACTAGCATGCATGAAAACAAGGCTTAAAAATAAGAAACGAGATAAATTAGGTAAACCGAAAAAATAAGCAAGCGGCGAGAAATAGATAAATAACGACAAAATAGGCAAATCGATAAAATCAACAAATAGGCAATTTGGCAAAATAAGCAAAATCGATAAATCAATAAATTGGCAAAATCGATAAATCGGTAAATAGGTAATTAAATAAAATAGGTAAATTGATAAAATTGATAAATAAGCAAATTGATAAGATAGGGAAATTGATAAAATTGACAAATAGGCAAATTGATAAAATAGGCAAATAGATGAAATTTGCAAATTTGACAAAATCGAAAAATCGACAAAATTGATAAATTGGAAAATAGACAAATGGGCAATTAGGCAAAATCGATAAAAATTGGAATTGGGCAAAAAAAAAAAAAATTGACAATTAGGAAAAATTGGAAAAATTATTAAAATTGATAAAAATGAACCAAAAACGGGATTTGAATAGACACAACTCAAACCTCACATTTTTTAAACAAAATTGGCATAATATTAAATTGGTCTTCATAAATCGCAACAATGGTTCAAGAGTCATATTTTTTAGGCAAAAATTGACATAATATTAATTAATTGTTGCAATTGGTAAAAACGATGCAAAACAAGATTCGAACTAATGTGGCTCAAAATTTACATTTTAGGCAAATTAACAACAACATCAAAATTACTCATTATTTGATACGAACAACTCAAGCAACGAGATTTGAACTAGCACGATCCAAAATTGTATTTTTTTTAGCAATAACAAGTATTTACAAAATAAACACTTCAAACAAACCATACAAATACAATAGCAATATAATTAATTAATTTATAAGCATATCATAATAATTTAATTAATTTACAAACACATAAAAAAGATTTAATTAAATTACAAGTACAATATCACAAATTAAATTTAATACATATAACAATAAAATAAAATAAAAATAAAAATAAAAATAAAAGTTGAAAATGCAAAACGAATTTGACCATTGAATTTGGAGTCGGTTTCGACACTTTCAACCTTGATGAAGACCGATATTCGATCAATCGGGAAGGAGCAATAACTACTCGTTGTAGATTTGGTCTTAGTGTAAGGCAAAACAATACTCGATGATTGAATAATAGTCGTCGAAATTTGATCAAGTTGGTTAGTTGGATCCGGGAAGAGCGAGGTTTAACGGATTAGTGGAAACACGAAGTCGTTAGATCGACGTCCGATGGTCCCGGTCGTGTTGTCGAATGAGGTCTGGTTTAGTGGAGGGGCGCGCAAGAGTATTGGCGGCGATCAATGGAGTTGAATGGCCTAATTATTAAAGTGAACAAACGACTCGCTGGATTGGATCTAGTGGTGAAATGGCAAACTTAGTAGAAGGAGGATTGCTAGAGATGTTGGGACATTACTAGGGTTGTTATCACGGCATGTGGATGATCGAATTGGAGGTGGAAGCATTGGATGTGCTGATAAGAGTTGTGGGAATGTGTTGGCTTGGTTTAGAGCATATGAAGTGGTTATGCGGATCTGGTGAGGCTGATCGAAATTGAGGAGAGGCTAGCCGAAAAGATTTTTTTAGGAAGAGATGATGTGTGGTCGCCTTTTTTAGAGAACGAAAAGTGGGTTTTTATACTAGGTTTTTTGGGCTAAGTTTGGTTTGGTCTCTCATCTCACAAACTCGTTTTATTTTGGTCATTTTCTCTCTTTTTTTTTTAATTGAATCAATCAATCATGTTTTTTTAGTCCCTTTTCTCCTTTTTTATTTTTTTTAGATTTTTTTTTAGTAAAAATTTAGATGCTAACAAAAATCTAATTTTTTTATCATGCTATGCTTATATGCATATGTAAATGAGTTTATTTTGTAAAAATATAGAGGAGGATGGTTCGGATGTAAAGCTAAATAGTTTAGGAGTTTAGGTCAATACTCCCCACCCAAAGAGGAAAGTTGTGGAGAATTTGGAATTTTGGCTAGTCATTAGTGAATATAACCCATTACTTATAAGCAAGTGAGTTTTTAAAAATAAATAGCCTTTTATTGGCATGAGCAACAAATCATCGACGACTTCGCTCATACAAATGGGAAGCCACCAAGCAACTTCGAGTCATGAGTTCGAAGCTAATGATAACCTCGTTACACAAGTTGAAAGCTACCAACCATTTTATTTAGCTCGAGCAAGGAGCGGATAATTGTTTAGAAGCTATCGACGACTTCATCACATAAGTGGAAAGCCATTGGCGACCTAGTTTTAGACAAGTAGATATTAAATAAAAATTATTTTGAAACTACTGGTGGCTTTGTCACATAAGTAGGAAGCCACCGATAGCTTTATTTTGATGAAATAAGACCAAAAAATGGAAAACAGAAAACAGGAATGAAAAACGAGAAATAGAGAAATAAGAAACATCAAACAGAAACAAGCATAAAAAAAAGATAAAATGATTCCAAAATCCACCGATGGCTTTTTCACACAAGTGAAAAGATACCAATGGCTTCATTTTGATGGAATAAGAAACAAAAAATAAAGAACAAGACAAAGGAACAATAATCGGGAATCAAGAACAATAAATAGATAAAATGATTCTAAAACCACCGATAGCTTCGTCATATAAGTAGAAAGCTATCGACAACTTTATTTCAATATTGCAATCGAGCGCGAGTTGATCAATTGACCACAAGAACAAGCATAAACTTCATATTTAGGATAGGCATAAAAACGTAAAAGCGAGTATTTTGTCCTTTAATACATATTACAACAATGTTTGTTTCAACCACATTTAAAATATAAATATTCAAAAAAAATACAACAATTTTATTCACATAATCAAATAATCCAATCATTTTTAATTGTCATTTTTTAAGAAAAGAATGCAATGGTTTTGGAATTTTACCCAAATGCTTTAAAGTTTTGATATTTTAAATAAAGTCAATTTCTCTCTTCGATCCCGATGAAAACCGATTATTTAGTTAGTCGGGAAAAAAGAGCGATTGTTTGTTGAAAAAATGTATTGTGAGTCTTATTAAAATGACCAAAAACTCCTCCATTGCTCGTGTAAAAACTCGAAAAGTTGCTATAAAATTTGCGAGTTCCTAAAACTTTATAGAGTTTCTTAAAAACTCAAAGTGGCTTTTGTTGCTATTTTTTTTTCATGTTAAAAATCAAATAATACAATCTACAACATTATATTGTTCTTGACAAAAAAGTCTAATATAAGAAAAAAAATTTATCCTTTTCTTTTTTCTTTTTTGGTTAAGTACTACCACTATTCATAACCAACAAAACCCTTTTTTTTTTTTTTTGTATTTTTATTTCGTTGCACCCAAATAAAAGATGTTATGCAAGTGTTTCCGGGCTCAAGGATGAAAGATGGAAGACGAAGGATGGCTACTTTGTTGGTTGTAATGAAGGGGTTGCTTTAATGGGTGTTTAAGGGGTTGGAAAGGGATCATATGTAGGTTGTTTTAGGGGCTATTCAAGTAGGTCAGGCTATGTGGGCTATAGGGATGCTATTTGGTGGTTGTTTTAGTGTTGTAGGGGTAATTTTATAGGTTGTGTTTAAGGGGTGTTTATGGGGTGTTTCAAGGCTGTAAAAGGAGGTTGGCGGATGTGTTTTGGGACCGAAGATGCTAGTTATCATGGCGGGTTTCGGGGTTGAAGTTAAGGGGCCGATAGACGTGTTTCGGGATTAGAGATATTGGTTGTCATGGCGGGTTTCAGCTACTGGAGTTGGGGGGCTAGCAAACGTGGTGTGTGGGGAAGGTTAGAGTTTCGAGGCTACCGCATAAGGAAGGTTGTTGGCCGCACTGGCTTATGAGGAGGCTTGTATGGTTATGAGGTGTGGTGAGCTACTATCTTATGGTTGTGGTGTAAGAGGGCCGTTGGCGTATGGAGGGGTTGGTGGTGTCCGGGCCGGCCAATAGTGTCGTGTGGGGGAGCTATAGGCGTGAGGGTAGGAGGTCGTGAGCGAGAGAGTAGTAGGGTCGTGGACGAGAGAGTAAGTGTGTTGTTGAGAGACTATAGGCAAGAGAGTAGGAGGTCGTGGGCGAGACAACTGGAGTCAATGTGTGTATGATGGTCGTTGGTGAGAAAGCAGGTGTGTTAGTGACGGAGAAGTTGCGGTAGTCGACCGGGTGTGTTTTTTTAAAATGGTAATGAATAGTAACTGGTATAAAAAATGTATGGGGGGCTTTTTATATGTAGATTTTTTGATAAAGTTTGTTTTGATCCTCCATGCTCTACCACCAAATCAATTCAAGTTTAATTTTTGTTTTTTTAATTTCGATAGAGCCTCTAAATTTGAATTAATTAGGACTTTCTTTTTCTTTCTCCCAATCGTGCCCCTTTTTATTTTAATTGAATGATATAAGTTTTGATTTTTTTGATTGGAACCTCAATTGCCCTTTTTGTTATCTCCAAACTTTCCACTTCTTCAATTAACCCCCTCCCTTTTCTTTCTCTCTCTCTCTCTCTCTTTTTAATTTATCTAAACTAATTATTCCAATTAATTTTTTTCTTTTTTCATTTTTTTTTTGGTATTTTGCTACAAAAATAAAAATTGAAGTATAAGTAATAAGGGCAAAAATTTGGGTGATAATAGTAGTGACGTGGGTAGAGAGATAATGTGTGAGAAAACAAAGGAAGCTAAAAATAGTGAGAACAATAGTTTTCTTTTATTTGTTGAACAATAGTTTTCTTATATTACAATCATATCATATTTCAATGAAATGTCAAAAGAATACATAAAAATAGAGTAATTGCAAAGATAAATCATAATTTTCATAAAACCAACCAAATCATAAAATATATATATAAAAAAAGAAGAAGCTAATAAACATTCAAATAAACAGATCTATTGAATGTGAGTCTACAGTTCAATTGGTTATAAAACTACTGTAGAAGAAATAGTGGTAAAACAGTGTCCGAGCATTCTGTTTTAGTTTTGTGGCAATGATCTCCAATATTCAAGTTGGAATATCTGCCGCAGACTTGTTTGGTAGCTAGAATTGTATCTGCCGCGGACTTGTTTGTTGGGTTAGCTTTTGAATTTGTTTTGGAAATCCTGGTAAAATGCAGGAGACACGTGTCCATGCATGTTATGATTGTGCATTTCACGAATGTCTATCTTTTATGACCGCTGGGGGTAATAGATATGTTATCACATCATTTAAATTTTTCCAACCTTTCAAAAATATTTTATTATTTTTTACATTTTACAAAAAATAAAAATATAATAAATATCTTTTTAATAAAAATATAATGGAAAAAACCTAATTATTTTATAGTGTGTCTATACAAATTTTTAAAACAACAAAAATATAAACATGGACAAACAAATTGAAAAAAAAAATTAAATATGTCAATGTTGATCCTAATTTTTTTTTTCTAATATTCGTAAAAGCTGTTGTAGTTGTGGTTTTTTTTTTAAAAAAAAATCCAGCAAAAGTTGACGAGTTTTATTTATTTGGTCTATTTTTCTTTAATAATTTTCGATATAAAACTATATATATTAACAATTAAATAATTAAACAGTTGAATTCACATTGACAAGAATTTAAGAATCGTCATCATTCTTGGTGGTGAGAATATAGTCTTTATTTATTGTTATTGATTATTATGTAGAATACTTTACAACCTTGTTTTAGTGAATTTTATAGTAATTATTTTTGTTTACGAAATCAGCAGCCAATTTCAATAGTTAGGTGAAGTAGTTACAGGAAACCAATATCATATGTACTATTTTCAGTTGCATCTGATGAACCAAATTTCAACTGGCTCTTGTTCTATTCACTTTTAATGAAGTTGAACATATTATTTTTGTAATTCGTTGCTGGTTTGATTAAGAAGATTTTCTTAGTTTAGCGTATAAAAAAATAATATTATAGTTCAACTAGTATTAGTATATGTTTTCATTTGAAGAAGTCTCGAATTCAAACCTTTTATATATATATATATATAAATATAATATTTATTAGTAGATTAGTACGATGTTTGGTCTCAATATGTGGGTGTGTATTCAACTTGATTTTGTAAAATTTGTTCGAAGGATTTGACCTTTTTCCGTTTCCTTATTAGAGAGTCAATACTTTTATCTCACCATACAAAAAGGATGGTGTTATTTTCACTCTATGAATTGATAATCTCACTGCACATTTATATAGGTTTTATTAATAAACTACAATATATATCCCTCATCTTTAATATAACTATGAAATATCTTATTTTGACTTAATCAAATTTTATTGAAAAATTATTTCTCTAATTATTGAGCTTCAAAATTAATTCAAATAAAAAAAACAAGAAGTATATAATATTCAAGTTTTCAGAATTCTAATTACTATTTTATATTTTTTTTGAAATAAAAGTTTTATTTGTAGATAGCAATTGGAAGCACAGAAAAGAATATATATCTTTAACAAGAAGCGAAATATAGTATGACAATTTTTTTTTTTCAAAGAAATTAAATTTGATGATAGGTAATGGTGAAGAAAAGATAAAATTTAAATATCCTAATTACAAAACAAAAGACTTTATGTTAGTTATATTTCTCGGTATAAATGTAAAACCAACATTTAATATCATTATTTGTGAAAAGTCTAATTATCATCATTTGCAAAAAATATAATTAGGGATAGTTTAATTTACGTGAGTAATAAAGTAGATTTATAGGGTAGGATTAATAAAGAATGGATTGAGAATAATATCACCTAAAAAAATAGTTATTTAGTATTATTTCCATTAAAATAAAAGAAGAGAGCCAAGAAAAATCATGTAGTCTCTACTCTCCACAGACGACATCCCGCCTAAGCATGGCATCTGGGAGAAGCGTTGTAGTCTAGTAGAAGAATTGGCAAGTCAACCGGAAAGGCTAGAGCTGTTCCAACTTCTCCATGTCGCCGTTCCTAATCCAATGACAATGAAGTCAACTTAATTTCAATAAAATTTTTTCTTTATAAAGAATGAAACACTTACATGCCATTGCTAGCATATATTTTTTCTTTTCTAAAAACTCTATTATCTTAATTTTCTATTTAATACTCATATTCTAATAATAATAAAAGCTTTTCTTAATGAATAATATTTAGTAAGTTTGATGATGATGTTAATAATAATTTATGATCTATCATCTATATTGTTATTGGTAACCTAAAAAATTATAGTGTTATAATTGATTGAGTGACCAAAATTTGCAACATTTATAGCTTAATAATTTTATGTTTGGGAGGAGGAAAAATGTATTAATGTTGGGAAATACATTTATAAATATTTAGGTATAGTAATTTCTTTTCTTGTATGGTTCTTTTTATTTATATATTTATTTATTTATTTTTGAAGAAGAATATAAAGAATATTACTTTAAAATTTGATGCTTAGAAGTTTTAACTAAAATTAAGAAATGCACAAGTAAGTTCATATTGGTAGGAGTCCTAGTTATAATAGCACAATACTAGAAATATATATTATAAATATGTTCACCTACTCACTTTTTTTTTTTTTTTCCAGAATTATAAAGTAAGGTTTCCTCCCTTCGAAAAATGCCAGTAGTTCCAACTTTTAGTTAAAACTAAATAGAAAAATTAGAAAAAGCTTGAAATTATTCGTCATCAGTCATCACTAGCCATCTATCATTAATTATTTGTGGTCTTGTGGCTTTGATTTTGTTTTGGCATTTTTTTTACATCACAAAAAAGTAAAGGGTACTGTAGTGTATTAGAGAGTATAAATCGGGGACATCAAAGGTATAAAAAACAAGTCTTTAATTGAATTAAAAACCAACACGTAGAGATTATTATACTACAAATTTCAAAATAATGTACAGATTCTCCGCATTATTACTTTGACCTTTTTTTATATCTCTAATTTTATGAAAAACATGTATTACATGAATCATCATATACAATATAAAACTAAAAGAACAAAGAAATAATCTATGATGAAAAACGAACATATATCTGATTTGTATCAATTAATTAAATAACAAAAGAATGACTTAAAAACTACAGTATTTGCTGGCACCATGAACCAATTAATGAACTGGCTGGCAGCAAATTAAGTGGATGAAAAAGAAGAATCGAGTGGCTAGAGAGGAGTCAATGATGGGCGCCGGTGGTATACTTGTTTCCACAGCAAGGGCTAGGACCCTGCTTAATTCCTCCAAGTGTCTGACTGTTGGTATGCCCGTGTCCAACGCCGGGACTTGGGCCTGATTGCTTGATCTCTCCGAGTGATAGCCCATCAAAGAAACTCTCAATAGCTCTGCTAGCAGCAGAGTTTCTTGCCTTCATGATTTTGAAGGGACGGGCTTCTGTCTCCATCAAGCATAGGGAGTTTAGCATCAAAAGAATGACCAAGAAGCTGAGTGATTTGAGCATGGTTGCCATGTTAATTGATGTGGAAAATATAGACGTACAGTATAGGTAGTAGAGGACTGATGCTTTGTTGGTGTGCAAGGAAGCGTATGAGATAGATAATGGAGCATGGATGCATGTGCTATTAATTTATAGTGTTAACTAGCTTGTGGGATGCGGCTTCTTTGACTTCAAATTTGGGTATGCAAACCATTCAAACAAACGTGAGACTAATGGGAGAGAGAGCTTAGCTAGGAAGCAACGAGGGAGGTTCTTTATTCTTAGGGTTCAAGGAAATGCATGTTATTCACGATCAGCTTGATGGTCCAAATTGGAAGGTGTAGAATAGAAAATATTGATGGTGGAATTTTGAAGCTGATTCCTGGTATTAAGCTGTATTACGTTTTGCCATCGGAAATTTCTTTCTATCAAAGAGCTAGATTAATGGAGACCAAAGACCATGCAGCCTTTGAATTCCAATGGATTTGGTGACTGTATGTAACGGGAAGGATGCGTGACTGGTCAACTGTCGATGGTTATATAGTCCAACCGATCACTGGAGCAATAGAAATTGGGTGTGGTGCATTCATACAAGTACACATTCGCTTCGATGAGATAGCTAGCGAAGTCCAACACTATTGACAGTGTTAGAGGTTACATCGAGTCCCATATTTTGATTAACAGTGCTTGACCATTTATTGAGTCTTCTTCTTTTATCAGTTGTAATAAATTATTAGCTAATTAAAAAGAAACAATCTTAACGAATATCTATTTTAATTTAAGGCTTAAGATTATTTGTAGATGTGTTGTGAATATTGTGCTGCGTTGTGAGATTAAATACAACAAAATTGTTTGGTAATGAAATGTTTTGCTGTTTTGTGAATAAAATCATTTGACTATTTGATAATATACTGATGTGCTGTTTAAATTAAAATTACCATAATGACATGACTTGAATTAAACATTTTATTTAAAAATTAAATTTTATTGTTAAAAAGTGATTTTTTTTTTTTTTTAAATTTGGAAACAGACAAATATCATAAACAACATTAGTAAAAGAAAAAACAAGAATAAAAGCATTACATAGTTTTTTTTTTCCCAAGGTAAATAATACTAGATATATATTAGTTAAGAAACATAATAGTTTTGTGCATATATTTATCAGAAAAAGAAAGAAACAAGAATAAAAATTAAATAGTTTTTTTTTTAAATAAATAGAATTACTAAATAATTTAAATAAGAAACGGAATAGTTGTGTATATGTATTAGGATAAATTACATTATAGGTATTTTGTAATTTGAAAATAATTAAAGTTACTTTTGTCTTTTAAACAAAATAAACAGCCTTCTGTCTTAAAAAAACATCACTTCCCGTGCTTTTTAAAATGGAATCTAATACACCTTTAACCTGTATGTATATAAATCACCTTCCACTTCTAAAAATTAAGCAACTGATTTTTAAAATCCTTACCAAACATTTTTTGGGCACTTTTAATTGTAGTGTTTTAAAGTAAAGCAGCAAAAGTTGAAAAAAGCAAGAGACCGAACAGGCTCTGTATATCATGTTACGTGAAAACCTGAAAGAGGTGCAAAATCAGCTTCACGTCACATATGACATATCTTCATTCAAATTTAATGAAATTACATATTATTTTGTTGTTATTATTTTTTTTATTGTATATGCACAATTTTTTATTTTAAAAAAATTAATTAACTAATATAACTAATTTTATTATATATCAATTCATTTTATTTTTTTTAATTTTTTTTGTTCGAAGGGCAACTCAAGACCGAGGAGTGAATTGAGTTTCTAAAAATTAAAAGAGTCTGTATAGTAAAAGCAAAAATAGCAAAGATGACTTAGAGCATAAAATTCAAAACACAATTTCAGATATGACATATATTAAACACAAAGAGAGCAAAACTAAGCAAATATTAAATAAATTTCATACAATCACCACACACACACATAAATAAAAGAGTAAAGAGGATGGAGGTTTGCACACAGATATATTCTGGTTTCCCATAACTGTGGATACTCCATTTCTCAGAGAGTCTCTCTGAGATTTGCTAAACAATTTCACTATGATTTTTCTCTTTTATAAGATGGTGATCTCTCTGAACTTAATCCTTTATAAAACTTCTCAAGATAGGATCAACCCATTACTCACCTTTCACCCTTGCAAAACACTTTCTGCAATGGAATTTTAACAAAGCTATAAACTCAGTAAATAATATGCAAATTTCTCTGGAAAGAAATGAAGTTTGCTGTTTCAAGAGGAGTTTTTGAATTTTCTTCTTGCCAAAGCTGTGTGTTTTTATCTGAATCTCTTCAAGGATATAATTGTTTTTGGAGAGTCTTTTGTTTTTTTTTTTTTGCAAGAATCATGATAGAGGAAATGCAACGGTTGGTTTATGTATGAAAGAAGGAATGACAGTAGCTGGGTGAGTAGTTTGTAGAGATGAAATTGGAAGGGCATATTTATTGGATCTCCAGGATATCCAAGGCCTTAAGGCTTCAACTAATTCCTTGTTGTTTGGTCAGTTTCATAAAAGAAATATAACTATTCAAAAAGTTTTTTGTATATATAAAAATTAAAAATTAAAAATATTTATTTAAATAACTAGAGCATTGGAAAGGGATTTATTTAATTTATAGATTGGGAGGAATGTTGGAGTCTGAAATTGGAAGGAGACTTTATGAGCTTAATATAGTCTGAATGTTGCTTGAATCAGTTTCTGACAAATGGGAAAGATTTTCTATCCAAGCTGGGATTACGTGGTTTTTGCATATATATTGAATCTTTTGATCTATATCTAGTAAGAAGACAAATTTTCTCAGCATGATGTGAGAGGACAGATTGCCTTCAGATTTTAACTTTGGTTCCTTGAATAATGCTCTTGCTAGAATGGAACATTGCTGGATAGTATATTCGAGGCAGCTTTAGGCTTAAACAGAAGTTATGCAGTCTTGTCTTGGGCTTGAATTCTCGGCTTCGTAATGTTAACTTGAAGCTGGGCCGTAACAAGCTAATTCGTAGTTTTGTAAGGACTATAATCCCAGCTAGCCTGCCAGAGAACATTTTTGCACACTCAATTAGTTTGTTAGAGTAGTTACCCATGGTTTGTTATCATCAAAATACCTGACGGTTAAACAATCTCCCCCTCTTTTATGATGAACCTCCCCCTTTTTTATGTGACAAACCCAAAAAAAAAAAAAAAAAAAAAAAACTTCAATCTAAACAACCTAAAAACTTAAGCTGTAAAGTACTAATATAAAATAAATTATACTCTATACAAAAAGATGAAGGTTATACTTTATTTTCTCCCTAAACATGTTATGTGTTCTCTCCCTTAACATATTAAATCCTTTTAATTTAAATTGACCCAAAAATAAAAAATAAAAAATAAAACCAAACGATGTAAAAAATTAAGCGGTAAAAGGCTAAGATAACTTATGTCGCTACCTAATATCGGACGGAACTCTAAAAAAAATTTAAGATTGGCATCGCATTTATAATTTATTCTTGGAATGTGAGTTATTATTGATTTCGGAGTCGCCACCAAGTATTGAAGAAACTAGGAACTCAAAATAGCTCTTGTGTAGAGATTCTAGGATAAGGAGTTGATTACCCTTTGGCAAAATATCGATTATCCAAAAGTGCCATTTCCTAAGAAAGATAACGCGTGTAGTTTAGTCATAAATTCATTTCTTAAGTTATTTTATTTGTGTCAAATTACTTTTGGTATAAACTTCAATTTTTTAAGCCAAATTAAGTTTTTTCTTATTTTTGATCATGACATCATATTGAAACGATTATCGGACCCTTTTGTTAGGAGATACGTTGGTTCAAATGTCGATTTACTTTAAGTCTCGATACAACCAATGTGTCGGAGAATATCTTGATTATTAAATGATAATTTTTTATTTTTGATAACAATAGTCTCAATCAAATATGAGACTTTATTAAGAATTTTGATTAATTTTTGTTTATTTTTGTTTACAACCGTCCCTATGAGATATAAGACTTTATTAAGAATTTTAATTTTTTTTCTCGTGTTGTTTTGTTAACGATAGTCCCTATCGGATAGGAGACTTTGCTAAAAATTTTAATTAATCTTTTTTATTATTTTTTTGTTGATGACAATCCCTATAAGGTAAAAGACTTTGTTAAGAATTTTAATTAATTTTTGCTATTATTTTTTTGTCAACGACAATCCTTTTCAAATACAAGACTTCGTTAAAAATTTTAATTAATTTTGTCAACGAATTTTCTCTCTTTTTTAATTAATATATGAAAGTTCTTTCTATGTTAAGAATTTTGTCAACCATATATGAAAGTTCATTAAGAATTTTAATTAATTTTTATTATTTTTACTTAAACATTTTCTCTCTTTTTTTTCTTCTCTATTTTTCTCCTTTTTTTTTTTTTTTCATTTGTAACATTTCTTTTTCTTTTGTAACATTTTCTTTTTATTTTCCTAATGCTTTTTTTAATTCATTTTTATTATTTTTTTATCGATGGGGAATCATCATCGGTCCCTAAGAATTAGGAGACTGGACAATTCGTCCATCTATTAATTATCTAACCTAATTATTGAAATAAATTTTAAAATTAACCTTAACTAAATAAATTCAAGAAATTCAAAATACTAAATCTAAATTAAGCATAAAATAGTAATAAAAAAAGCATGCACACATAAAAATAAACGAGTAATAGAAACAAACCAAATGGTCATTAAAGAGTGACTAAAACACCTCGAAGACAATTGGAGTTACATTTTTCCCCAAAAATATGGTCTGTCACACATGGCAATAAAATTAAGAAACTGCCACTCATGTATGACGACCGCACACTCGCCATGAAAATGGTCATCGTTAACTATTTCAGCCATGGTTTTGAACGTGGAAAAGCTTTCATGGTAAATAACGACCTCCTCTATCCGTTCATGTGGGTTGTGTCGTCCACCTCCACTTGTGGACGGAGATCGACAAGTAAAGAAGTTTTGGCTAGAAGTTTTTCTCTTTCTCT